TTTTGGAGAGGTTTTTGCTATAGGGCATGTGCACTCGCCAGAAGGACAGAGAGAGAGACAGAAAGTGAGACATCACCCCCCAGGGGGGATGGCCACTCCGCAATCCCTACTCCATTCTCCTTTCCAGATCTTGGGCAAGCACACACACGCGCCCGGCGTGAGTATTAAGCCACTGGGTCTGGGACTCAAACCGTGGTCAACTACATGGGAGTCCAGAGACATAGCCATTACACCAACTGGTCTCACAAATATGAATATTTCTAAAATAAATACTAAATTTTTTTGAATAATCTTGTACAGTAGATATTTAGTGTTATAGAATCCAGATCTGCAAATTATTTTTTAAATTTATCACTGCACACAAAGATAGGTACAGAATACTAAAAGGAAGTACATTACATTGTCAAACAAAAAGTTTGTTCTAAAAATAAAATCTGTTCCTAAATAATTGAAAGCTGGCTTGCTTGTATGGATTTTTTTTCATTTGTTTGTCAAGCTCAGAAGTCATTTTCTCTTACTTTTCCATGTTTTAACAACCTGTTATAAACCCTTAATCAACTAGGCTGTCTTTTTTTTTCCTTATTTTCTTAGGAGTCCGTGGATCGGTGGGGGAAATGCTGCTTGTCCTGGGCCCTGAGCTGTAGAAAGAAGACACCAAAGGCCAAGTACATGTATCTGGCACAGGAGCTCTTGGTCGATCCGGAATGGCCACCCAAACCTCAGACGACGACGGAAGCTAGAGCTTTAGTTAAGGAGAACGGATCATGTCAAATCATCACCATAGCATAGCAGAGAGGAGTCAGTCTCAGTGGCCTCATAGCAGTAGTCAGGAGCGTGTTCTGACCCTGTGTGGTAGAATGGCACTATTTCGATCTGTCCCTTCTGATACGGTAGCGGATTCGAGAACTTTGCTTTAGGAAAACAAAAAAGAGAGAGAAAAGAAAGCAGAAAAAGGTATTGGCTTGACAGCAATCAATCTGTAAAGTCCCGTTTCTTCATTCAGTAGGCTAAATATGAATTTTCAGAATTTCCATCACCCCTCCGTATATTCTTTGTGCTGGGTATAGGGGAAATTTGGGCTTGGGTAGGTTCTTAGACATTAGCTTTTGAGACTAGTTTACCCTTTAAATTTATTTTCAAGCCCCCTTATTAGAAAAAGTCTGTTTATATACAGGCCCTAAATCTGTGACCAATAAAATTAAAATGGGTGTTAATTAGCCTCCAGTGAAAACCAGTTGAAAGGCGATTTTCATTTGATTGCATGCTTTATTCCAAAGAATTCTATATAAACATGTACCAGTTCCCTTTGATAGCCTAGAGTTCGGAGTGAGTTTGTACAGTGTTGCTTATAGAAACAACTCAGGTTGATTTCCACTTAGGGTTTTTTATGTTGTGTACAAACTGCCTGGGTTTTATTTGTCTACAACAGCAAGGTGCTTCATTGTCTTTTTGAGCTATCTCGCTAAAGCTGTTAAATGGTTCTTATGTCAGTTATGCAGTTTGTTTCAGTTAAATGTAGTAGACCCATTTCCACTAGGAGGAAAGATGGTTTCTTTTGACAATACATGTAGACTTATCTTTCTCATATCTGTATACCTGTGTTCCCCCCCCCCCATGTTTTTCCATCACTTAAAGAACT